ATTAGTGACAGGGACAGCACCAGAGGACTTCCTGGATACCAGTCGTGTTCTGTTTCTTGATTTGGGTGATGGTTATGAGGATGTATTCATTTTTTAAAAAACCAAGTTTTACACTTAAGAGTGCTCCTCCTTCTGTCTGTATTTTATATTTCAATCAAAAGTTTATTTTAAGAATTGTGTTCAGCAATAAAAAAATGTAGACTTCTGTGTTACAGGATAATAGAAATAGCCGGAATTTGAAGCATTAGACTTGCCCACTAAAGGGCTTAAAATGCCTAAGTGTCTAGAAGTGTAGGATTAATAACACAGGGTAAGTTCTGACATTTTAGGGTAATTTGTGTTCTCCAGAAGATGTATATGAATTAATAACTTCAGGATGACAACTGTTTTTATCTTCCTGATCTGAAGCTTTTACTTGTGGCCTCCATAAATAAATTTAGCAATTAATCCTCATCCTTTGACAAATAGCCGTTTGTTTCTGCAGATTCACTGTCAAGGGTCAGAGGCCCAAGTGCTCTATTTGTATCTAGTATATAAATTATGTAATAAGATACTTCTAATATCTAAAACTAACTTGGCCACTTTGTGTTTTTTTAACCACTTTTATCTTTAACATCAGAAGAATTATACAATAATAGAGATACAGCACAGCACAAGAGAAAATACAAATATTTTATGTTAATTATTATTTCTGTGTGTACTACTTTGAAAGTTATCGGCTAAAGGGTATGACTGGACTTGAGGCCTTTCATCGCCGTATAATAGACTGAGTGTTTAGTGCAATTAAACAGCAATGAGATATAACCAAAATAATCATGGTAATCACATATATTTTCAACATATTAATAAACTAGTTAATATTAACTCTCTAAAATATTTCCCATTTTTAATAAATAAAAATAGTCATTAAATGGCAAAAAAGTATTATATTCCATAATAATATGCTACCGTGGCTGTGGAAAAACCCTCATATATTTCTGATTGAAGTATTAATTGCCAGAACCTATTTAAAAAGTAATCTTGCAGGAAATGTTACAAAGCAAAATGTAAACACCCTTTGACTAAACTAATCACCTTGGGAAATCAGTAATACAGACATTAAAGCACCTGTACCCAGGAGATAGATAAACAGGCTAGCATGTGCAAAAACTAGAACAACCTCTTTGGTAAATGATTGAATAAATTAGGATATGTCCATCCCATGCATTGTTATATAGTCTTTAAAAATAATGTGTTCCATAGTGATAACAGGACGTCACCTTTATCATCAGATGTTTGTGGTAGGTACCCTTCTAAGTACAGTTGACCCTTGAACTATTGTTGAATTCAAACCATATGAGTTCATTTACATGTGGATTTTTTAAATAAATACCAACTGTTCTGTAAACGTATGCTCTCTCCCTTATGATTCTCTTAATATTTTCTTTTTTATAGCTTACTTTATTGTAAGAATGTAGTATATAATACAAATAACACACAAAGTAATGTGTTATTCAACTGTTCATGCTATCAGTAAGGCTTCTAGTCAACAGTAGGCTATTAGCAGTTAAGTGTTTGGCGAGTGAAAAGTAATACACATATTTTCAACTGTGTGGAGGGTTGGCACCCCTAATCCTGACATTGTTCAAGGGTCAACTGTATTTTATGTGTGTAAACTCTTTCCATTCTTGTAACAACAATACTACCTAGGAATGATTATTATTTCCACTTTATGGAGGAAAAAATTAATGTTCAAACACATCAAATATTTTACCTAACTCCACATAGCGGGTATGTGGTGAGCTCAAGATCTGAACCACACAGTTTTGTTCCAGAAGCCACACTCTTAACTTCCATGTGGTTGTTCCACCTTCCTGAATTGATTAAGGATGGATTTCTTTTATATATTGGTAATCGGAAAAGCAAATAATGGAAATCTAGTTATTGTATTTCAAAAGAAAAGGAAAGAAAGAAAAGGGAAAAACATCCATATGAATATACATTGGTATGAGGATTTTAACAGTTTGGAATAATAACCTTCAAACTGGTAACACTAATTACCCCAAGATTTAGTAAGAAAGGAGATATTATTTTTATTTCTACGTCTTTATTATTTGAGGTTATAGAAAACCCTGGAGTACTTCTGTCATTCTTTAAAAAATGTATTTCATGGATTGTGCTATTACAGTCGTCCCAACTTTTCCCCTTCGTCCCCCTCCACCCAGTACCTCCCTTCCCTCCAGCAACCCTTCCCCCCCCCCCTCTTACTTCATGTCCATGGGTTGTGCATATGGGTTCTTTGGCTTCTCCATTTCCTATACTGTTCTTAATGTCCCCCTGTCTCTTTTGTACCTACCAATGATGCTTCCTAATTCCTGCATCTTTTCCCCCATTCTCCCCTTTCCCCCTCCCAGCTGAATAACCCTCCAAATCATCTCCATACCTATGATTCTGTTCCTGTTCTGCTTGTTTTCTTTGTTTTTTTTTATTCAGTTGTTGATAGTTGTGAATTTGTTGCCATTTTAATGTTCATAGCTTTGATCTTCTTCTTTCTCTTAAATAAGTCCCTTTAACATTTCATGTAATAATGACTTAGTGATGATGAACTCCTTTAGCTTTGCCTTGTCTGGGAAACACTTTATCTGCCCTTCCATTCTAGATGATAGCTTTGCTGGATAAAGTAATCTAAGTCATAGGTTCTTGCTTTTCTTAACTTTGAATACTTCTTGCCAGTCCCTTCTAGCCTGCAAAATTTCTTTTGAGAAATAAGCTGACAGTCTTCTGGGAACTCCTTTATAGGTTAACTCTCTGCTTTTTCTCTTGCCGCTTTTAAGATTCTCTATCTTTAACCTTTGGCATTTCAATTATGATGTGCTTTGGTGTGGTCCTCTTTGGGTCCAACTTGTTTGGGATTCTGTGCTTCCTGGACTTGTATGTCTATTTTCTTCACCAAATTAGGGAGTTTTCTTTCAAACAAGTTTTCAACGTCTTGCTCTTCTTATGCTCCTCTGGCATCCCTGTGATTTGGATGTTGGTATGTTTGGAGATGTTCCAAAGGGTCCTTAATACTATCCTTGTTTTTTTGAACTGTTTCTCCTTTTTGCTGTTCTGGTTGAATGCTTATTTCTTATATTACAAACCATTGATTTGAATCCTGGCTTCCTCCCCTCCACTGATGGTTCCCAGTGGAATTTTCTTTGTTTCCCTTAATATGACCTTCATTTCTTACTTTATGTTGTTGCTGTACTCAGTGAGTTCTTTGAGTACCCTGATCACCAGTGTTTTGAACTCTGCATCTGATAGGCTGGCTATCTCCATTTTGTTTAGTTCTTTTTCTGGGGTTTTGTTCTGTTCTTTCATGTGGGCCATATTTCTTTGTCTCCTCAATTTGGCAGCCTCCCTGTGTTTGTTTTGTGTTTTAGGTAGACCTCTCTTAGTAGCATGGCCTGTTATAGAAAAGGCACCTATAAATCGTGTGGGGCAGAGGCTTAGGTAATCACTGGGGTGGGGGGTAGGGGCAGGTGGAAACCCACTTCACCATTTTGTGGCTCTGTGTAGGGGGAAGGTTCCAAGAGGAAAATGCCTGTGCCTGGTTTCTGGAGATTTGCCTGGCACTCGCCCTATTTCCAGTCACTTCACCCACTCCCTGGACGTGCCTGGCGCCCTTCCAGCTATTGCCCTGGCAGTGAATCCCAGAGTGGATGGGTTTGTGTACATTCTAAGTCCATGTGGGCCCTTTAAGCCAAGTGTCCTGAAATCCAGGAGTTTCTTCCACCACGCCTACCCCCATTGGTTTTTTCAGCCAGAAGTTATGAGGGTTTATCTTCATGGCGTTGGAACCCTGAGCTGTGCTGTCTGGCCTGGGGCTGGAATCACTTGCTCCCAAGTTATCCCTCCTGATTTTTATCTACCATACTTGAATGTGGGATTGTCTGCTCAGTTGCCACTGCCTCTCTACACCACACTGAGTCTCTGCTTCTCTCTGCCCGTCTCTGTGCAACTCTGCCCCTCCTATCCATCTAAATGAATGTGTCTTCTTTAAATCCTTGGTTGTCAGACTTCCATACAGCTCAATTTTCTGATGCTTCTGGGTGTTATTTGTTTTGAGATCTAGTTGTAATTCTTTTTATGGTTGCACAAGGAGGCGAAGTCTGTCTGCCTATGCCTCTATCTTAACCAGAAGTCTACTTTTATCATTGCTTAATCCAATAAAGTGAAGAAAAAAAACTAGTCTGCATTTTTAGGTTTATTATGTTTTTTTGAGATTAACATTTAAAAAATAGACAAGGAATTAATAAAACTTGTCCTCAAAGTTTTTACTAGGATTCAGGCCCACAAGGATTTAATTCATTATGGTCATTCTACAAGACATCACTTACCTCCAAAAGTGTCTAGGTCACATGAAGTGGGTCCCCAGTGAGCATTTTTCCCCTTTTCTTCATGTTTGTCTCTCCTTCCTGCCCTTCTCCCAAACAAATGACCAGTGCTATAGTCACAAAAGCAGTCTTATTTCCCATTTTCCAGTCTCTCGGATGACTTTGGCTACCCTAGTCCTTGGCATGGGGAATGAGTTCCTAACACAATTTGCTTCACTGTGGCAGGACATAAGCTTAAAATGAGAGGGGGAGATTTGTCACCGGGCAATCCGTTATGGAAGAAAGCATTTCATTAGCAACGGAGCCAAAAGTCCTGTATTTAGAATTATACACATGATTATGTAAATACAAATAGTCCATATTTTAGAAGTATCTGCTGTTTTATTGGCTCATTTTTATAGATTCATAGATATGAATCTGTATGCTGTTTTATTGACTCATAGATATGAATCTTAATAGGATATAGAATGATATATTTGACATTTCAGCAGAGTAAAGATGTGAAACTTTGTGTCTTACCTCAGGCAAGAATTAAATATCTTTCACATAAAATTATTCTATGGAATTTGTATTTGTATATTTTGAGAACTTCAGTCAACAGTTTGAAACAATGCATTTCATGAATATTTTAATGCTTTTTCTCAGGTTCCATTTCGTGTGTCACTACAATCTGTGTTCAATCTGGAGAGACTTTTTGATCTTGCTAATGGCTGCATCATATCAGGAGGAAGCCTTTTCAACTGGATTGTATCAATTATTCCCTGAACATTCTTTACATGTTAACCTTCTAAAGGATTTAATTGTTACTGTTTTTCCTGCTAGAAATGTTTTGAAACTGTCCTCTTATAAAACGGATAAAGTAAAGCTGTTTCCTTACACAAGCTAAAATTTCTTTAAAAACTATAGTTCTGAGTAATGTTTACACTGCATTTGAATTAAATGACAATGCTGTTGCTTATTAAGACATCTCACAGTACTATTCACAGAAAATATGTGCGTACAGTCCAACTATTCCCATGTTTATGTATAATAGTTTCTATTTTGATTGTTTTTAGATGGGTCCATATCGCAAAATTGAATTAAGCCAGTGGCTTCCAACTGGGGGAGAGGATTTTATTTCTAGGGTGGCGATCTCCAAAGACATTTTTTATTATTATAACTGGAAGGAGGATGCCACTGGCGTCTCCTGGGCAGAAGCCAGGGACGCTGCAAAACATCCCACAGTTCCCAGGAGGGCTCCCACAATCCAGACTGACCCGGCCCGAACTGTCAATACTGTCAAGGAAGAGGAATCCGGGGTTAAACTTCAATGTGTGGTAAATTTAATTTTGGGAGTTTGTCTACAGGGTTTGGGAAGAAATCTGTAACAAATTAGACCTTTCATATTTTTATACTTCTGAGAGGCAACGAAGCACAAAAGTTTAGAGCAGGGGCCATGGAATGATACAGATCTGAGTTTGAATCATAGGTTCATCACTTCCTAGTTCTGCTACTTTGGGAAAGTAATAAATTATGAAAGCTGTTGTTTCCTCACCAGTAAAATAAGAATATTAATAGGATTTCTGTGTGTATTAAATTAAGTGAGATGATGTAAGGAGGTACTAAGCACAATAACTCAAGTAGTTAATAGTCATTGCGCTAAGAGTTTCGTTTCCCTGCCAAATAGGAAGAGGATCATGTACTCCTGACTCATTTTTTTTACATTCAAAGTTCTGAAGTCTGGAAATCGCCAAACTAGAATTGTTCTAGGTACTCCCTAGAGGAAATAAGGCTTGAGCAAGACTTAATTATAAGGATTTTGATGGTTGAAAATTTGCTGGTAGGCAGGATGCTATAAAAGAACAGAAGCATAAAAGTTAAAATGAATATAATATATTTGCAAAGGACTTTCCTACTGCCTATCTGTAGTGGACAATCATGATAGAAAATAAGAAATTCTAAGGGTAGAACTAGAGTGAAGACTATGGACTTGATTCATATATGATAGGGTACTGTTTCTGATGAGTAAGGAGAGGAGTGGCAAATTCCACACACTAGTAGACAGTCAATAAATGTTGAGTTAGTGGAAGGCAATGAATGAATAATTTGCATGAGTGATGGCCTGGCTTTCAGGAAAAATAGGTATGCAGTATTCAGTGGTAAGGGAAGAAACAAAGGCAAGACAACCAGTAGGAAGAAACACAACATATTCCATTGAATTCAGAAAAATAATTGCATGATGACTATACTCCTCTATGAAATAAAGTTTGGGTCAAACAGAAAAGCATTTCAGATAGTGATGGCCCTACTGGGGCTTATAAATTTCTTGCTGGGATTAGAGAATGCTTTAGAGGATTTTGTGTTTCTCCCAGGAGAAGTTTAATTTATTGCGCAAAGTTTAGCCCCCAGGGGCAAAAAGGCACAACCAAAGGCAGTGCATATATGATACAGGTGTAGAAATATAGCATAACCAAGGCCATTTACTTCAACCTAATGTTAATTTCCTGGAATGTATTTACATGTTGTCCATTCTACATCACTATGAAGTTTTTACTAATTGCATGATCTTTAAAAATTTTAAATATTCATAGATATAAAGGCACATGCTGTTTTATAGAAGCTTAGAACAATGCCTCGCACATAGTAGAGGTCTAGAATATTTGTTGAATGAGTAAATGAATGGATCGACGGATAGAAGAATAGATGGAAGGAAGGAAAGAAGGAAGGAAGGGTGGATGAATGTGACCCTGAAAGACGGCACCATGGGTCTCTAAAAGGAGAGGAAGCAAAGGTATCACCACCTTCACCATCACTACTTCTACCATTATCGTCTACCTTTACCATGGCAGGCACTGCATTAGTAAGTGCTTTGTACACACCATCTCCTTCTGTCCTCGCAAGAACTAGGACCATGACGCACATTGGATGACTGACCCCAGGTTGCCCCTGTAGGCTATTAAGTAACTTCCCCAGTGAAGACAGTTAGAGGTAGAGCCAGGACTTAAATCCCAGCTCCATCTGACTGGAAAATCTGAGTTCTTTGTTGCTAAACTGGCTTCCCCAGCCCTTGTACCCACTCCATGGTGCTGAGAAATTTGAATGTTAAGGGAGAGGAATACATAGCCGAGCCTGAAGCTCAAATTGGAATGCCTCTGATCTGCCCCAGGAGCATAATTTTTTAATGGCTTACAGACCTAAGTGGATGTCCCAAGAAAGCAGGGGGTGTCCCCAATGTTATCCGTGCCACTGTGTTGGTTTCCTCTGGGGAAGGAAAGTCCCTTCAAAGTATTACAGGTAATACTTCAACACATTTTCACTTTTTCTCCACTTTTAGTAACTTACAGATGCTGTTATTCTTGGGTGTTGTTTGGACTGAAAGAAATTCTGTCTCAGACTGCACGAGACCCTACAGTCACAATTTCCCCAGGTTAAGCCTTCCTCACTGCAGAAATCTCCTGTCTCTTCTAAAATAGTAACAACATTCACTAGAATTGACACTTGCTGTGCTAGGCAGTGAGGAAATGGTGATAAACTGAGCTAACCTAGAAACAAACAACAAAAAATTCAAAATCTACCAGGATGAAAGATGTGTTTATTTCCAGAAATCTTTCAGGTTTTTTCTAAAGACCAAATTACACAATTTGCAGCTGCTTTTTTTTTTTCTATGCAGGGTACAGTATTTGCAAATGCTTTATAGCAGACACCTGCAAGTTTTCTATTTGTTTTAATTATAGCAGAGAATGACAGGAGGCCCAGGGAAAGGGGGAGGAGAGGGAGGCAGAAAGAGAAGGGAGGGAAGCGGGGGAGCCAGGGAACAGGAGCCAGCACAGCAGCGAACTGATGGGTAACAAAACCGCAGCACTTCCCTGTCTTTCTCCCTCTCAGTCGCCAGGAGATTGCTTTAGAAATTGACCACCTGCTGGCCATCCAGAGGCTTAAATGCTGCAGTCTGGGTTCACTTCACGTTTATGCACATTACACTCTCCCCACTCCAGATTACTGTTCTTCACTGGATTGCAGAGGGGGAATGGCACCTTTTTAGAGAGTACTAGAGACTTGGTCTCTGCCTGTGGGCTGCATTGCCCTTTCAGACAACCTTATATGAATCTGTCCACCCCAGTTCAAATGACAGCGGACAGGCTCCCAGAGCTCCTGAAGCACTTCCCGGTGCCTGCTCATTTGGCTCAACACTTTGGCACATAGTTTTGTATTGTTCTGTTTTCACAACCCAGCCTTGTAATCTTAGGGCAAAGGTGTCATAAGTGGGTGGGCTTGCTCCATAGTCCTTCGGGCTTCATTTAACTTGGGACTGGGTACATTACTGTGTGCTCTCTCTTAGCACTTACAGAGTGTCCACAACACCTGGAATATTAGGTGAAATATATGTAATATCATCATGGACATTGTCAATCCATAAAAAAATAAAATATTACTTTTACCTTATTTATTATCTATGTGTGCATAGGACTGGACAAGCCCCAAGCTCTGGGATAGGGGAGAAAACAGTGGATGCAGGAGTCCACAGCCTCATGACTCTTCCTCATTTTCTCACATTTGAAATATCTGTTCGCTGTCTCCGAAGAAGCTCTCACTCACATGCCCAAACTTGTGCAGAAATGTTCACTGATGCATTGATTATAGTAGTAAAAAAATGCGAAACCTACTAAGGTTCCCTAAGGTGGAGAATGGATAAATATATAAAGGTGTAGTCATACAGTAGAATATTATACAAAAGCTATAAATTAATGAATAACAGACTACTACCAAGCACTTATGAATGTATTATCATTTCTCATCTATCAGAGACATATATCAATCTGGATATACTTCAAGAGCAAAAGAAAGAATGAAGCATTGCAGCAGAACACATATAGGAAGAGACCACTTATTAAAATGTAAAAGAACAGGAAAAATGACATAATATATGTACTTAGGGATATATAAGTATGGGCTAAGACATTTTTTTAAATACACGTTAATGGTCACCACCAGAATCAGGTCTGTGGTCTCCTTGTAGATGAACAAGGAAAAATGTGTTCTAGGAAAAATGCCCAAGAAGTTTCATTTGTATTTGTTGCATTTTCTTTTATAATCTGGGTGTTTGTTATATTTGTCTCTACTTTTTTACATACATGATATATTTCATAAATTAAAAACAAATACCCATTTACCTTTCCCATCTTGTTGTCTGGAATGTTCTGTATGGCTATTGGCTCACCTCTCAGGAAATAACCTTTAAATGTGAGTTAGGCCTCTGCTCTCTGTATACAGCCATACCTGACCACATGGGGGTCCATTATTTAGGGTTTTAATGACAACTAAAAATCATTTTGAAGCTAATGTCAAACTATACATGGGCCCAACTTTTAGAAAAGTCAATCTATGAAAATATTAATTTTTAATATAAGGTAGTAGAGCCTCAATAAATGTTTAATTATATTGAGGAAGACTCCCTGTACAATTTCTATCAATTGTGGGTTACCTAATTATACTTTAAAAAATTTGATTTTCTGAAATGAGATATGTGCAGAAATTTTAACATGACTGGTACTTACATGCAATGAGGTTCTCTTGGAAAAGCCATCTACTATCATAATTTCAATGTTTTAAAAAATATATTAAGATTTTTCTCTTTACTAAAGACATTTCCTATTTTTGCTTCACACTTCAGTAGAGCTTTATGAGTTGCAAGTGTGACACTAGAATTTCCATGGCAACATATTATTTTTTTGTCATAAAAACAGGCGTGATTAAGGAGAAGGCTTGAAAAAAAGAAGGCTTCGGTG